CACTGATGTTTACCTTGTATGGCCCTTTTTGTAGGATTAATTTCCCTTTGCACCGGCATGTATCAGTTCCGCCTTTGGATCTGAAGAAAGGCAGCTTCAGTAAGAGCTGTGGTGTTGGTGTTCTGCCTCTCCCGCAGGTCTCGGGGATTTTGCTGTATACCTGTCAGGCAGCACAAGTAAGGAAGACAAGAAACCTGTGTAAAGAGGCTTGTATTTACTAGAACAAACAAGTAATACAAAAATTTTTACGTTAATTTACCTGGGGGGGGAAAGGACATCTTAATTTCTTAGTCTATTCTGACAAGTTTTTGTGAGGGGAAGGAATCCAACCAACCTACCTGTAGCAGCGCTTTTTAGAACCTGCCATATACACTAAAACGTTTTGTTTTAGGAAATACCAAAGAGAACTGAGTGCTTTTTTTTTTTTTTTTCCAGAAATTCCAGAAACATTTTCCTGTAAGCTGGTTTACATTAAGTTTTCAGCTAATGTAATATCTGGCTTGTTGTGCATGGGTAATAAGCATTATACACATGCTTTTTCGGAGCACCATCTTTAGTTTTATTGGAAACTGGGAGGATGCATTTGTTACTACGGAGCCATAAGAATGTGAACATATTGTAATTTGTTCTTGCTTTTAATAAATGCTTTGAATCTTTCACTTTAAAATATTAACACAGAATCCTATCTGACATATGGCAAGTCTGGGACCTTGAAAGCAGGATTCAGCACAAGGCTACATTTTTCATTCCTTGTGAAATGCCGGTGGGTCAAATAATGTGAAATGTTCTGTTTCGGATATACCCATTTTGCTTTTTCACTTGTTTGAAGAGCAATGAATTCAGAGATGATCTGAAAGGAAAATTAATTTATGTACAGTATAATCTGTAAATTTGGCTCCCGTGCTGACTGCGTGGGGGGTTGGGTATATTTAAACAGAGCTGCTGTTAGTTAGTGCAAAGTATACAATGTAGAATAGAAGTGGTCTAAGTGCAGGCAGGGCACAAAAAAACCTCTGGAAATCCAATATTGAAGTTATCTTTTAATTGTTCCTGCTGCTAGTTTTTGCAGTTCTACAAGCTGTCACCGTGGGTGAAATCCTGTCCTTATCCATTATCTGTGCACCTCGTACACCAGGCGGTGAAGCAGAAACCTGTCACTGTGAGCTGAAACCTTTACCTGCACCGGTGGGAAGCTCAGCTGTGCTGCTTGCTGGTTGCATGGCAGATAGTGAGGCAAGTAAGAGATGGGGATGAGCCCGTATAAACCTTGCTGGACTTGGGGTGACTCTGCAGGGGCCACCCTCAGCCTCCCCACTTTATGGGAAGCAGACTTTGAGGAGCCGCAGCGGCAGCAGTGGTTAGCGGGGAGGAAGCAGGGACGTGGGGGAAGCCGAGGGAAGGAAGCAGCAGCATCCTTTTGGCATGGGGGCAGCAACAGAGCTAAATCCAATAAAGTGCAAAATGCTTCCATTTTTTTTCAAGAAATCCCAGCTGCAAAAGTGATGGAGAACTGTTGTACTGAGTGGTAGGTGTGGGTAATATAATAGCGAAGTTTAACAGTGAAAGGGAGCTTAATTTAACAGTCAGTAAATGCCAAGGTAAATAAGAGGTAGAGTTATAAGGTAATCCTGCTTTGCTTAAAACAAAAAGGAAACAAAGAGGCCTTTCTTCTTCTTGGAGATGTTTCTAGAGGTGATAGCAATGTTGGGAGCGCCCAGTTTCATCCTACATTGGTGATCACCATTACTGAAAATACTGTCGTCTTCTATCCTTTAGAAGCAAAGCTGTATACTAACATGGCAACAAGTGTTTCTCCAGTGATGTTATGAGACTTCCTTGATTGAAAAAAAAGAAAAACAAACAAACAAAAATGTAAATGCTTTATTTAGGCTGTTGCTGGGAGGAAATAAATGTATTGGCAGTTTTATCTATCCCTCTTGCTCTCCACCTTATGCCTTGGGCATTTGTGCAAAGTGAAAGGTTGAGATCCAGACATCTCATCTCTCACTTGGTGCATGAGTGTATGACTTCCCATGCAAAGGACATGCAATTGTCATCCTGGGTGGGATGCATCTCGCCTCATTCAGACGTCTGCATCTTAGTCATCTGCAGTCCTCCCGCAGACACAACCATCTGATCTATCCAGCTAATGGAGCTGAGCGTCGTCGCTGCTACCCAGAGTGAGCACCCTGAGTCAGATGAATCATGCTGCAGCATCCGCTGGCTGTAGGGATCTCCGCTGATAGCCCAGCAGCCCGGGCACTCCCCTGAAATGCTTTTTGCACTCCCATTTAGTCAGATGAATCCTCCCCAAGATATCATAACTGGAAGTCTCATCAGGACGCTGTTGCCCAGAGCTTAAGAGCTACTGAGTACGTCGCACATAACCACTGCTGAAGGAATGAAAGCACACCCATGGCCTGCCTGGCTGGGTTATGATGCATTTCTCAAGGCTCAAACCAGTTGTTGTCTACTGCACTATTTTACATTTCTAAACCATTTGTCTTTGTAGTGTTACGTTTATGAGTCTTAAGTGTTTTCCTCCCAAGGGTAAATAAACAAAAAGAAAGGTTTAGAAGCAAGTAAGGAGGCTTGCAGAGTTGTTTGGGCTTGTCTCCATGTTGTTTTTTTTCCCACAGTTTTAATTAGTTTTGTGTTCCCAAGAGTTGATTTATTCTGGATTAAGCTGCATTGTTACTCTCACCTTTGTCTGTTTTCTCTCTTACTGGCATTTGTGTAGCTGGGTGATAAATCAGGTGGAGGAAGTTACCCCACTGAAAACGCTTGTACACACAGGGTCAGTTTTCACCTGGATCACTTCCCAAGTCAGGTAGATTCCCTGGGAGTTACACAGATGCTGCTGCTGGTGCAGAGGAAGGGGCTGAGAGGAGCTGGTAAATGAAAACGAGGGCTTCATGGCAGCAGTGCCAGTTGATGCAGGATTAAATCGATTGTAGGACTACAGTGTAAATAGCGGGGGACAACTTCTAGCAAGTGAGCTGTTTTAGAAGTGAGACAACTCTTGAAAGTTTTTTACCACCTCTTTGCTCAAAAAAAAATAAGGTATAAAGACTTTCTGGATAACTAATTTGCCCACAGGAGACTGAGAAAACAGCACTGGAGCTCGGAGCAGTGAATACGGCCAGCCCTATGTACTCGCGGATGGTTTGAGATGCTTGCAGCTGTCTCTGTCTGCAGCAGGACAGGTTGTTCTCTCTGCTACTCCACTTCGTGCCTGGTTGTTTCAGCAGAGTTTTGTCCACGGTTTAAGCCGATGTGACCGCAGTACGTAGCACTCACCAGTTTTTCCACCAGTTTTAGAGGGACGTGGGTTAGCACCCGAGTCATCTTGGCTCTGCTCTCAGCCCCTCCCTCACAGCCTGGGAGGAAATGATGCTCTTTGGCCAAATGAAAGGCGGAAGAAAGGCAGAGGGCAGGCCTGGGTGCTTAACATAGCATCCTGATAGAGCAATTTTTATCAGCTAACTCCAAGTATGTGATTTGGTGTAATTACTGCCTGGCGCCTGATAGCGGCTGGTCACTCCTCTCACAACTCTCTGTCAGCCAGAGCAAATCCCTCTTTCCTCCAGGTAATTGCCTTGCTCTCCTTAGTTATTGCGTTCCTGCATTGATGACTCCTCCTTTGGGGTGTCTGCTGAGCGATAAGACGTGAAAACTTCTTATCCTACCCTTCTTCCTTCTGTTCCCATCTTGGCCTTCTCCTACCTTGACAGGCTCGGAGGGCTTTTGCCTTGCACCAGCAGGAAGCTCTGAAAGCTCAGGGAGTGTGCGTGGCAGCTTTTCATTTCTGCTGGGGTCGGGTGGGCAATGCTAGGGAATTAAACGTGTTCAGGAGCTCTGCAGACAGCACTGGGCTGTGGGGGTGAGGCAGACAAGGACGGGAAGGTGCTGCTGGGCAGCCCGGCGACAGCTCGCCCAGGCGCCGCGTTGTGTTTGCAGAAGGGGTGGCATTGGCTGGAGGTGGCAGCGAGAGCTGTTCCCTCTGCTCTGCCCTAAATCGTGCTCCTGGCAAGTTCGGAAACCTGCTGAGCAGCACGCTGACCTGGACAAATACTACAGTTGTTTAAAGAGCTACTTGTGGTAATAATGTTGACAGGCACTGCGGAGCACAGCAATATACTCGCTCCTTTAGCTTTCCTGTTAGCACCCAGAGCGTTCCTGCAACTCAGCTTATTTCAGCCCGTGGTGCTGCAGTCAAGGTCCTGGCAAATAACTTAACTTTGCAGCAGTGTCTGGGTTCATGATGTATGATTTACAGGAGCCAGGAACACAGATGGTTGAAACGAGAGCTGTATTTCTGTTGTTTTGCAGGGTGTCTGTGTGGGGGAAGTGTTACTTTTTTTTTTTTTTTCTCTCCCCCCGCTATTAAAACTTTAATATGAAGAAGCTCATTTTCTTCAAAAGTTAAGATTTTCTTTGTTCTTACCGGGATGGTTATTTTCATTCTTTAGCATACTGCTTGTTAAAACTTTTTTCGAGGGAATTATGGCACTGGACTCAGTCGATGTAAATGTTGTTGTTAGCAGCCTGTGTGAAAATTACAAAATACACTTGCTCCAAGCAGTCTGAAGCAGTAGGAGCGAGAGCTTCTAATGGGATGAATTTCAAATTTTCTCATTGCTGCAAGCTATTGGGTTGTAACTGCAGCAGGCTTCAGAATATTAAGCTGGTAAAAGTACCTTTAAATATCGGTTGTTGAAGGAAGAGAACCTACATGTACTAAAATTCATGCTGAAAACCATTAGCTTTTCCAGACATTTGATTAGATAAGGACTTCCTTCTTTAGATCAGATATGAATAGCTATCTGCTCTGTGAAGCTTTACCGCAGTGAAAACTGCTTGGCACTCCTTAGCTGGGTTAAAAATCTGACTGGAGATCTTGTTTTAATTAGTAATTTTACCTGTGAGCGTGTAGTTAATCTTTCATTAACATTCCTTTTTCTTTTTTTTTTTTAAAGCATGATTTACTGTCGTTGCAGAAAGATAGCTGCAGAAGTCAACTTAGCAGACATCCTTAGAGAAAGGATCAAAGCTGTGTCATGTCACACGTTAACCTTCAGCACAGACAAATCTTTGGGCTTTCAGAGGTGAGGGGCTAGGTAACAGAGCCAAGCCTTTTTTTTTTTTTTTTTTTTTTGGTGCTGTTGTAGAAAGGTAATGCTTTTACCCTAGTGCAAGAAAATACTGTATATGTTCATTTAGTGCATAATTTAAGTGAGCGGCCCAAACTTTCAGAAATTATTCTGTGGTGAAGAAAAATTAAAAAAAAAAAAAAAGGAGTAATTGTTAGCTCTCAAGATCAAACTCTTATAAATAAATGATAGCCCTGTAGGTTCAGTCATAGCAGTGGAGAATCTGTTTACCATGGGTGATTGCACATAAACAAAGATGCTTTTTAATATCTGGTGCATTCGAGTATTAAAAGCCTTGCATCAGTTAGCCACTCAGAATGGTCAAGTGTCATCTCCCCTTACCACGAGCCTGGCTGCATGGTGGGAAAGCTGAAGCTCAAATCAGGCCAAACTCCTTCTCAGGTGACGTTTCTTCAGTTCGTGCATGCCTGTGATTTACAAAATCGTGGTGATTTTAGCTTTTACAAGAAGTTATGTATTTAATTGGAGGAAGAGTGAATGCACAGCAGTGTTTTCTGACCATGATGTGGGCAAAACTTTCATTGCTTTTACATTCACTGTTACTTTATGCCATTCTGTCCACTGTTACTCAGATTAGCTGCTAATAAGGATGTGTTCTAAATAATCCATTGTGAAAGAGCTTTGTGGATCTGGGGGCTGACCATAAATAGTATATAACAACAGTCAGGTTGCTGGCTGGTCATTGATTATGTGTCTTTTTGACCTTTGTTAGTCAAAATGTTGTTAAGTCAGAAGCACTTAGGACAGGTTTTGAAGGAGGTACGTGTGGTCACCAAAAGGAGTAGCACTTTCTCTTGCTCAGCTGCATCTCGAAATTGTTCTTATAGCGTGTTGAGTGGTAAAATAAAAGTTTGTATTAATAAATGGGCATAACTTTGAAATAGAAGTAACACTTCTTCAAGAAGAAGTGTTTCACTGCTTCAAGAGCTTACACTGCTTCAAGAGCTTACTCTCTATCCACAGGATGGGGAAGATACTCAACTTGTGCAGAAGATGAGTTGAGGAGTACAGAGAAAGCACAGTGATGGAGATGGCACACTGTCCAGGTGAGGGCTGGGAAGTAAACCCAGGCCATACAAGAACCGAGGGTCTTAACTTCTGCTGCTTTTACTTCAGTGTTCAGGGACTGTTTAAGGAATTTACTGGTATTCAGCCAGCAGTTACTGCAGGACCCTCACAAAATTATTTTCAGGTTTCATCACCTTTTTCTTGCCATTCCATGCTTTTCTTTGTCACGCTTGTGTGAGCATAAGGAGAAATGCCAGGAGCTGCCTGGCCGTGGGCAATGAAGCTTCCCCAGCCTGGGCTGGTGTTCAGCACGTGTGGAAGGCAGACAGCAGCCGCCTCGGTGACCATTGCTGCTATCCTGATGTTCGAATTTGAGGTTGGTTTTTGTAAGTAGACACAGAATCACTTGTCCCCAAAATGGATGATGATCTTGGTTTCTGAATCTGTCTAATTAAAGTAAGAAAAAAATACCATAATGATGATAAGGTGGGCATGTAAAACTTCAGTGTAGGAAGCGAAATTTGAATGGATTCCAGCTACAAGTACTAAAAACCTTCTTCCTTTTCCTCTTAGTCTTTCCCTTACCCACTCCCTATTGAATTGAGCTAAATTTTAAACCTAATTTCAATCTACCAGAAGACAACCTACATTTCCAAAAGCGGTCATGTAAACAGATCTGTATTGCAAATGTAACTTGAAAGTTTGATGTTAGTAACATCAGTCTCATTTCATCTTCCTAAGCACCAGGGGAACAAAACACCTTAAATCCAAGGTGCTGTTGGAAAGTCAGTGATTGTTTGTAGTTAACAGTAAAGAAAATATTGTAAGAAGCAATTATTTTATCTCAGAGTGAGGCAATGCAAACAAACCTTGATTTCAGAGAAATATGCTGGTAACTAACTGATCTTGTAGGTAATGCTGTCTGTGGTCCTAGTATAATATTTGGTTTAGATTTCTTTGGTTTAAACCCAGACTGATGGCTTCAGATACGATTTTATGAGGTAGCCATATATTGTGTTAACAGGGCCTTTTTGCCCAAGGGGCAAATAAACTGCTGTATGCTTTATAGCACGTTAAACAGAATAGGGGAGAAGAAAAGAACCTAATGATAAGCCCATCGATCCTTTTCTTTATCATGAATTATTCAGGCACTGGTGTGATTGATTGTTGTTAGGTTTTACTGGTTTTTAAGCATTGTAGAGATGTGGTGTAGTATGTAAACATAATTAGGTGTTATCTTCATGCTTCAAGTTATCTTGGTTTGTGCTGGTTACCTGATTTCTGAGACAAAAACAGTGAATCATGATGGACAGTTTTCCTTCATGGCCCTGAAAAAGTATGGATTTTGTGTTTGCCCAAATCCTCACGTGTTCTCACTTCTAGAAGAGTGGGATGGACACAGCTGTGGACTGGAGCCCTCGGCGTTTGTGCACACATGTGCCGATGCGCGCACATGCTAGCCGTGTAAGGCCATATGGTATGAATCAAGCCTTACCTCACGGTAGTAAAAATGTAATGCATTTTCCACCATTTTCAGCTATGTGTTCGTGGTAGGGTATCCTGTGCTTTGAACGACTTAAGTGATTGTCTTCTGTCCATGGTCATTGTTCTGTGGAATTAATGTGTTATCCAGGATACTTGGCTTAAATTTTGTCCTTGGATCGCTGTGGCTATTTTAATAACGCCAGGAGTTGTCGTCTTTTCTTTCCTGCTCCCTTGCTTTATTCAAAGCAGCTTTGGCTTGCAAATGTATACAGATGTGTTTGTGCTCTCTTGTTCATAGCAGTAGATTTGAAATAAATCCTTGCTAGCATATACAAGGCATGTGAATAATTGTGTGTATGAGTGTGTGCGCTTCCTTGTTTGAGCGTTTGAAACAATCAGCTGAGGCCTCTAATTAAGCATTACTGGCTTCTTGTCTTGTCGTCCTGCAGTTTTTGTGATATTTGCATACTGTTATCAGGTCTTACAAATTTTCAACTTTCACAGGAACAGTGGATTTTAATGTTAGACTTCAATGTTTTCAATAGTTTTTTTTAAAAGCTTTAATATTTATTTAAGTCTATATCACTTAGATTTTTTTTTCCATATCACTTATTTTTTTTTCCATCTAGTAACTCTAGAAAATTCATCCTTTACTCTGCAATAGTTCCTTCATAAATAATCCCTTCTAAAAACACAAATATGCTTACTACTAAAAAGAGACCTGACCTACTTTGTGTCTTTCTATCTGTATTAAGATAAGCAGGAGTCAAGAGGTAGTTATGATATATCTGATTCAAGATGTCAGTTCGTAGGGTATTTGCCCAAAACCGATGAATTTTGTGTATTTCTGTTTCTCGTTCCAGACTCAGCAGTGCTTTGTGCTAGATACGATGTGGTTTAGTATTGAGGTATTGTCACCAAAGAAAAAAAGAAGTCCTATTTCCAAGATTATATGGCCCTGATGTAAGGCAAGATGCTCAATTAAAGTCACCATACCATCTAATGAGAGAATGGGAATTCTGTGGATACTTTTAATATCCATGGTGAGAGAGACAGATCTCTTGCGTTGATCTCTTCACGCAGTTTGTAAATGCTCTGATCCATCCCATCTGAACATGCCAGCGATGGCTGAATCTTCTGCCACTGTCTTTTTGACATTTGGTGCTGGCAGCTGTGGTGCAGAAATTGGATTTTGGGGAAAAAGGTCCAGCTGGAAGTTGCCCACAGCTCAGTGGCATGGGCTTTTTGCCAGCTCAGGATCCTAAGCTGCAGCTTCTTGCCCTGGGCTGGTGCAGTAGGGCACTGCTGCTCCTTTGCACTCACCACAACCCCAGTGCTTGCTTTTTTTTTTTTTTTCCCTGAATAACTCTGCATCCGGATTGTGCGGAGCTATGCGATAATTACAAGAACAGAGCGATTCTTCCGAGGATTCTTTGAACTCATTTGGGGAAATTTAAAAACAAAATCAAATAAAATCATCCCGTTGGCTTCTGTTCAGGAGAATGGTGGCTGCTGTGCAGTTGTTTTTGCCGTGCTGTGTGAGTTCAGAACAAATGTCTCCTTGTTCTGGTCTCTGCTTGCGGGAGGCAGATGCTGGCCTTGCGCTACCTACCGCCAATCCAGATTTTTGGGTTTTACGTTGCTAGCAAATAGCAGCAGTGCATCAGGGCCCCAGCTTGTGACCAGGGGTCTCCTAAGCTGTAACCTGTCAGGTTGCTGCATTTGTTCTCCTCTTCCCACTGCACAGGGAGCCAAACAGGACAAGTTGTGCTTTGTGATCCTTCATGCTGCAAGTGTGCGGTAGGGAAGAGCAAGCCAGGTGGAAACGCAGAAAAAAGTTCATATGAAAACGCAAGTAGTTGGAAGAGCTGAACAAAATAGCAGAGGATACTTGAGAGATATCCATGTGGGTCTTGCTGGATTTGGGTGCTTATTCTAAACCAGGAGGAGGTGAATTTGCCATCCTTACTTACCTAAGAGACGTGCTCAGGAGTGAGTGCTGCAGAGGTATTGCCCTGTGGTACCAGGTAGGAGCCCGAGGGTAGTTCACTGTCCATTCGTTCTTGCTGACAGCTTGGGTTTGATGGAAGCGCGTGCTTTTAGAGGTAGCAAAGGTAGTGCGAAGTTATGGAATGATGGGATAGCAATTTTTTAAGTGTCAGCTTCTCTTTGGCATAGGGACTCTCCACTCCAAGGTGTGTTGAATTGTCTAGATCCAGGGCTTGGTGTAGCACTAGGCAACGTGTGTGATGAGATCGCCTTTCTACCTAGGTGTGGAAAGAGACTCTGATGGGAAAAGCAGATATATATATTTTATTTTATTTAAGAATTATAAACAAGTGTTTCTCTTTCTTAAGCTAGTTTGCAAAAGATTCTGTCATAGGTATTCTCTTCAAGCACAGTCTGCTGTGTGCTGCATGCCCTTCAGTTGTTCTGATGCTGACACTGTCTGGTGAGTTTTCTTCTTGCTCTGATTTTACTGTGGCTGGATTTTAGGACCACACATTGGTCTTTATTTTCCGAGCAACTTTAGCAGAAAACTGGTGTGCCTTGTACTTGAATACCAGCTCTCAAAAAGCTTATTTTTTGTAAGAGCACTGAAGGTTTTATACTCATCTGTCCCTTCCACTTCAGTGTGCTGGTAGGCTCTGTCCTTGTCCCTCCTCTCTGCATATTTTCTCCCTCTAGGAAATCATCCTGCTCTGCTCACCCACTTACATCACTTCAATATAGGTCATGTCCAATTCCACGCACTCTCTTAGTTTTGATTTCTCTGTCTGTTCAGCCTCAGTCAGCTCCTGGCTATACCATAATTTATTACAATTGACAGATTCAGAGGCAGAGGTCCCCTGCTATATCATATCTGTTGTACACACGGCAGATGATAGTGCTGTGACATTCCTCTGCTTGGGTGCTTTAAAAAAAAAAAAAGTTGCAGGATGGAGGAACTGACATGCTCTGCAAATTATAAAACCCAAAGGAGTTGAAAGTAACAGCTGCCAAACAGCTTTAACTCTTTACCTTCTGTCTTTTTTTTATATCGAGTGACAAATAAAGCTAATATAAGAAGAAGAAAAACTTTGGACTACATCGTGAACTGATGAGAATCAGATGCTAAGTTTTTATTGTGTGATTGTTTAAAAAGTTAACATGATAGCAAGGGTGTTAATCTAGCAAATGTCTTCTGTTCGTGTTTTAAACCCAGCATGAACAGACATGGATGTTTTTAATAAAAAGACAGATATTTAATTCCAAGAAATATACAGGTCATATGCCAGAACAAATGCAATTTGTGATTTCTGGTTAATTTTTTATTATTATTATTATTTTAGAATCATTTCCTCGGGGACCATTTGTAGTCTTTGGAGCACTTCATAACTTTCAGTAATAGTCTCAAGATTTTGTGTATTACATAAACTTCAGATTTCCTTGCTAGTAATCTGTGTTTATTTGACTTTCTGAAAGCTGTTAAAGGCATCAGCAATAGGCTGAACTTGATTTTTGGATTACTGTTGTGTTTTTCATTCTTTTTTTTTTCTCCTCCTGCTTCATT